TAAGTCTTAATTTAACGACCATTGAACCTGGAAGCAAACAGGGGCATACAGGAAGGAAAATAATCCCACCAAGTGCTGAGCTCAGTCATGGCACCTGTGATGGCACTGGGAGGTGGCACTTGCTTAAAGCACTGTGTGTGATGGATTATGGAGACAGGTGAGAGGCCATAGTCATATATACTCTCACCTGTGTGTGTTGTCTTTTATTCTAGGGTAAAAATAAATCATTTTATCAACAGAAGTCTCAGCTGTGTTTACTAATCACTGCAGCTCTCTTCACCTGCTTACTGGTATAATAATATTCCCCCTTACTTCTAGTGTCTGTCTAGTTGCCTATCTTGAACCAAGCAGCAGAAATGTAATCATCATCATCATCATCATCATCATCATCATCATCATCATCTCTCTTTGCTAAAATATTTAGAAGGAAGCCCTCAGACAGTGAATCCTGTCATAAAGGTCCCCTTCTTTTCTCAATTTAGTTTTCCCTGCCCAGCTCTGTTCATGAAGGCCAGATTAGATACCAGAGTTTGGTCAGCAGTTTATCCAACTTTTGAATTCTTATTTTTCTTTTGCCTCAACTGGGGCCTTGATGAAACACAGCAAGTTCCAATATTCTGTGTGCCCAAATCTGCATGAAACCTATACTGAGTTACCTCAGACACCTCCCTAGGACAGATGACCATAGCATGAGAAATTGTGAAAATCCTTCTTTTTAATGTGCACATTAAAGATAAGGACATGTCCTAGAAACATTACTGAACAACATGATAAGCAACAAAGACACATTGCTGGCCATCCCCTGTATCTTGGTACAGTAGCCAAAATTATCCTCCTTCTCTCAAAATAATTTTATTCTTGTCTGGGTTGATGGAAGCATCTTCAGATATTGCACTGAAGTCCTATTAAATATGATGATACCACATCTATTGCAACTGCTCTGCTTTCTAAAAACACCCAACATTTTTTTTTACCAGGAGGTTAACTAATCTCATAATTTATGAGATTGTGAAGTTCTTCTCATAAATCCATTGCAGTTTTCATTCAAGGGAATCACATAATTGTACTTCTATTATTCAAAAATCATCCATATCCAAAAAAGATATTGACACTCCATGCCAATTTTATTAATTAATTGTGTCGTATCTTAAAAAT